GCAACAGGGAGTGTGTGTGTAGCGACAGGGAGTGTGTGTGTAGCGACAGGGAGTGTGTGTGTAGCAACAGGGAGTGTGTGTGTAGCAACAGGGAGTGTGTGTGTAGCAACAGGGAGTGTGTGTGTAGCAACAGGGAGTGTGTGTGTAGCAACAGGGAGTGTGTGTAGCAACAGGGAGTGTGTGTGTAGCAACAGGGAGTGTGTGTGTAGCAACAGGGAGTGTGTGTGTAGCAACAGGGAGTGTGTGTGTAGCAACAGGGAGTGTGTGTGTAGCAACAGGGAGTGTGTGTGTAGCAACAGGGAGTGTGTGTGTAGCAACAGGGAGTGTGTGTGTAGCAACAGGGAGTGTGTGTGTAGCAACAGGGAGTGTGTGTGTAGCAACAGGGAGTGTGTGTGTAGCAACAGGAAGTGTGTGTAGCAACAGGGAGTGTGTGTAGCCCTGAGTTGAAAAAGGTCGGGAACCGCTGATCTATAGATCATTTTACACACACATCTGGTGCTGAAGCAAAGCGACGACATTAAGGCAGAAACTCACATCTCTGTTGTTTCTGCAGCGGCCGGCTCTTGGGGATGTTGGAGAGCGGGTGCAGAGTTTTGGAGGTGAAGCTCTTCCGCTGTTTGTTCTCCAGCGGCGTCACATAGGGAAGCTCCAGAGAACTGAACACAGGAAACTCTCGTCATGAGAAGCACTTTTTTATAGAAATAAATTAACATCAGATGTGTTTAAATAATAAAGCTTTATTTATACGGCACTTTTCATACAGCACGTGCCGTTTAACCTGTTGAGCCCCGAGCCTGTTTTTCAGACCTCAGGCTCGAAAATGACATTCCCAAAACAAATTACCACAACTAGACTTCTAAAAGGGGAAAATTAATTAAAAAAATTCTCAAAGCAATGATAAACCTGTGAGTTGGATGTAGAAAAGTCAGAATCAATATAGCATTTTTTTATTTTAAAAATAAATTCAGATTGAACATAGTAAAAAAAATTTGATTATTGTGTCCGTCCAACAAAAAAAACATAGCATAGTGAAAACCACCCTTGAATGATGGGATGGTAGACTAAAAGCTTTAGGAATCCAAACTACAACATATAATAAGTACCCTGTATCAAGATTGATGCAAAACAAGTGAAATTTGACCTTTTTAGAGAGATTTAGAAAAAAAGAAAACACTTCTGGGGTCATTTGGGTGGATTTTCCATATCTCTGGCCCCCCTCAGTACATTTTGATGATTGACACCTCTTTTTAACCGTTAGAGCCAATAGAATCGAGGGGAGGTTCCTAAAATCCATCTAAACATTACCCATTGGTGAATGAGTGATGCATAGCCAGGATGCCCAAAACCGGAAGCTATCATACACTCTCGTAGCTATCATAGCAGCTATATATGAAAACTCCGTTATTGACATAAATATGAAGATGGATTATCAGTAATCATTTCAAAGTGACAGACACATTGGATTAACCTTCAGCAGCGTTTTTGTCGTTTTAATGCCATTGAACACAACTTTTGATCAGAAAGGTAAGACGTTTTTAGCCGTTTTGGCTCCGTAAAGCTAATTGTTTGTGTTGTTGTTTGTTGTCGTTTCGCCGCGAGTTCTGATCACTCAGTGATGATACTTATATGTCTGGAATCTGTGGAATCTCAGCTTGCTAAAAGATATCTTGTTTGTGCAGATAGGATAAGTAATAAGGGTATTTCACCTTGAGTTCTGTGCTAAGTGCGTTAGCATTTTTTCGCTCAGGGCTAATTCAGAAGCTTGGTATTACCCTTGTGTTTCGTTTAGCTAAAAATTGTTAATATTGTCTGAAAGCTGTTAAGTGAGTACGACACATTCATAGTTTAGTAAATGTTAAGAAGCCCTCAGACTCTGTTTCTTGCAAGATGTTGCGTCACAAGTTAAAAATAAACAACAAGAAATTCCCCTCAGATCAGATGCAGCAAAATATAACATTTTAACAGGTTAAGAGACACAAGGAGGTAAAAGGCATGAAAATAGAAATACAATAAAATAAATGAACAGACCTGGATTTTTCCACTGGGCACTCTTTCTTTATGATGGCGGGTTTCTTGGGTTTGGGTTTAAGGAGGATATTTGACGGCTCTTCTTTCACTTTCCCTGTCGTTACTGTCCCGCCTTTCTTTTTCACCGGTTCCTGAGAGGAATGAAAGCAGCTCGTTAACAAATAGGACATTTGCATGGTAGATGAGCAACACTTAGTTGACTTGTAGGGGATGGTAAACCAAGAATATGAATTAACAACTGTTTTCATAATGGAT